CTAGTATATTGACTTTATCACATAACCTCAAGAACTATGTGAAAAATTTATGTTTTTTATTTCTAATTTGAATTATTTCTTTTTCTAAATTTGTTGTAAACTAATCTTCATATATTCCAAATAGCCTGGTCTGCATGGATATTGTTCAAAATACCCCAGATTATTATTATTACAAATTAATTAAAAGGAGATTTACTGTGAGGTTACCACTTTCCTATAAATCCAATACTTTAGGTTTCATTTTGAAAATTAAGTACTTTCCATATGACAACATTCCAGCGAATTAAATTTGATGTTTTCCAGAAGATTTTCAGACATGAAAACTACTCAAGGAAGCTTAAAATTTTGCTGTTTTTTATCTCATTGCAGTTTTCCATACACTTAGTGAATAAATTGCTTCTCTCTCTAGCTTTCAAATTACATCCAAGACCGCTTGCCAAATTCAAATCAAGAGATAAAGAAAAACTTCTCAACTATCTTTGCACCCTTTGGCAGTCCGATTGAAAGCTTAAGATGGTATWTTTATAAACATATTTTCAAATTAACATAAAAACAAGTAGTTTTTGCTCAGAAATTTGAGCGCACACACATACACACAGTTAAAATGGCACGGAAATCCAACTGTTTTTGAAACTGACAAGAAATGATCGCAAGACAATGAGTACTAAATTGAAGTAAGACGAAAATTTCGAACATAAAAACGGCAAGATAAGCGCCAATAAAGATGCAGCGGAAGTAAACYAAAGTTGAGGACAGGCGAGCTACTTTTATGTGCGACTGTAATTGMAAAAAGTGAACAGAGAATGTCACAAAATGCGACTGAAAATTATAGAGAAAAAAATCACATAAAAACAATAACAAAATGACAAAAAGTTAAGAAACAATAAGCGTGACAGTAAATAAAGCGTTAAAAGTACTTTCAAGCGAAAAACAAGAGTGAAATTAAAATAAAATTTGTTATTATTTTACGACAGCAAAAGCGAGCAGCAAAAGTTAGCCAAACAGTTTTGARTATGCAGTTACACCAGAGTTGCTTTGCTGTGGATATGCAACACGCCCGGTCAGGCAGCAAAAGTGAAAGGGACAGTAAAGACCGAGACACCAGCCGCCAGCCGCCAGTCGCCTAGTGAAGGCACAACTAACGAAGTAGTGTCAAGTGGCAGATACTAAGTTTTCCAACTTTTTTGTTTGACTTTTTCTGGGATTTCTTTCTTTTATTTCAATCTTTTGTTTGCACTTTATGCGATTTCTTGCGAAAATTTGCATCATTATTGGCTGAAGAGAGCTGCGACGGCCGAAAAGTAGACGAAACACGTAGAGACGAGACTGSCAGACAGCCACTTCGACACTTGGACACGCCGCGACTAGACGTTGGAGCGTGCGCACGCTCAAGTGCCGCATGGACCAACTTTTAGTTGCCGATTATTTGTGGGCCACCCCGCGCACTTTTGAAGCCCATCGCTTAAATAGAAGCTCATAGCAAATACGTTGTTGCCGAAACGCGCATGCGTGTGTGGAGTGGGTGTGGCATAAGTGTGCCTCTTAGAAACTTTCASAGTTTGAATTTTTTAAAGTAGAAAAGAAAATCATTGTTGTTATTTGTTTTGGTATATAAAAAAAAAAGTTTTTGCAAAATTGCAGATGTCTATGTGAGCAAATATGCACTTTGCAAATATGAGGGAAACTTTTGTCTCGTGCATCCGACAAATTCATATGCTATGACAACCCACGTCCATGCAGCCTTTCATGAGCTTTATAAAGTATACTATTGCTTGCAATTTGCTGGTAAAATCTGCAACTGCCGGGTGATRAAACTATAAACAACTGATGTGAATTGCAGATTACGAGTGTGCATACYTTTTAGTTMCTTTTTTATGTTCATGCTTACTTCAATTCCATTGATTGAGTTTATGACTGCTTTCATTTCTAATTAAGCAATAAAGATATGAGTTAGATTTTTTTAATTTGTCTAGCTTTAGATAGTGAAATTTTGTTAAAAAAGTTTCTGGTTTCAAAGGTAATATTTCTCGGAATAGAAGAGAATGCTACTAAAAAAGAAGAAACGTCAATTTCAATTCCACCGAAGCCGGAGTATGATTTGACACACCCCCAATAGTGACAATTTTGTTTGTCATAAGCCAGAAATGGGCCCCATCTGAAAAGAGGATTTTTCCGATTTCCGGTTTTTCGGAGAACCTGAATTTTCGCAATAACCCTGAACCAAGTATTACCAAGCAGCGTTGTACCAAAGGTAAACGTGGTTAACCTTAGAGAGCATACTGTTATAATTTGACGCTTATCCCTAAACATACAAATACCAGCGAAATGTCGGCGTGTTCAATAACCGGTTCTGATGGGTATTTGGCTCAGGAGAATTTGGGTATTTATGTACTATATGTGCACTCTGAAATACTTCAAAATTCGATGTTCCTGACAATCTAAACTCCTGCGAACTATAATTGGTATCTTTTGCACTCATACCTAGGGGTGATTTCTTCTACGGTCAACACGCAAATTATCTAGTATAATTTTCTCACTAGGTCTATACAAGAATTACATTGCTTTCGTATTATGGTAATAACTAACCTAACCTTTCAAATTGCTCATATATTCTTCTGCTTCCTTCTCTTTGGGGAGCGTTTCTTACGTGTCGAGTGAGTCCCAGTGCACAACCCTGAGGAGGCATAGTTCGCCTTCTCACTTTTGTCTTCAAATGGTTGTTTTTTGACTGCACAGAGAATATTTATTCTCCGRMTAAAGAATYGTTTCTGGCCAATCCCAAATTAATGTCGCTCAGAGAACTTTCCTCATTTGYGTGAAYTTCTACATATGATCCCATCC